CATAGACTCCATGACTGTTTGCTGGTCACTTCGCTTGCCGTTCATCTGCTGGGAGAAGTATGCCGCTCGAGAGCGCAGCCAGGTAAGGGTACTTTCCTTGAGGCTAGCATGTGGCTCAAACGCAAGCAAGAAGGGAACCGTGTACCAACGATACGTCAAGTGTGTTTGTTGTACGAGCTTCTTCTTGAGCTGACTGATGAAGCCGCTCCGAACTTCCAGCACAGGGTCTTGTGCGACGAGGGCAATCGAGTTGAAGTCCTTCGGCGTAAGCAATTGGTCGCATAGCCCGTGGGTCGCACACAACTTCAACAGTGACCTTGCTGCGAGAAGACGCAGTCTAGGCTTCTGGGTTGCCGGCGTGTCCCTCTTCTTCGAGAGCTCTCCGTCATTCATCACAAGCTTGTTCAAGGTGTCATAAACGGGTTCCGCATGAGCACGGAAGTCATCAGCATCATCGGAAGCATCCTTAGCTCGGAGACGATTGACGATGACCTTGAGAGCCCATTCTTTGGCCTCAGTCTCGTCGTCCACGGAATCCGACCACGAATATCCAGCATTCGGTTCTGGTGAGCGATTGGAAAGCAAAACCTGGTTGACAGAGATTGAGATGATTGCATCGCGCTCATCATCTGCCTCTTTAGATGCCAACAAGTTGAGCTGGGATAAGGTGGCGAGCTTGGTGAGGAATCGAGCGGATCCGTAGCTCCAACCCGAGACACACTTGTGAATCAGGTCCTTAGCATACATCTCCTTCTTGTCGGCGACAGCCATCAGAATTGAAACAGCATGCTTAGCAGCCCTCGGCGACGGGCTGTGCAGCGCATAGTTGACCAAGGCCTGGAAGAATTTTCGCTCCTTGGGAAGCTTGGAAGGCAATTTCTTTGCAAATCCGGAGCATGCTTTGAGGATCTCCTCCGTCCCCGCGCTATCCCTGGTCGTGGCGCTCGGAGCCTGTGATTCAAGATCTTTGCACATCTCCTGGATTTGTGCCTCCAGGACCTCGGGATTGCGAGAGGAGATTTCTCGTAACATCTCATGAGCAGGGTTTGCCAGCCCGTTCTCGTCGGTCCTCGAAAGGCTCATGACAGCGGGAATGTGACTCCGGTTGAACACGAGGGAACTGCTGCGATACAGCAAAGGAGTAAGAGTTTCAAGCAATGGGGTATTGTTGGCACTCTGTACCCTCCGTGCGAGTTCTTTGATGGCCTTGATGACCGTTCGATAATCGCTGACGGCGGCCATAGCGAAGCGAACAAGCTGGTAGCCACGTCGGTCGTGCACTTTAGCGAACTTCCACAGATCTGCAGACGTTCTGGAGGGATCGGGGAACGTTTTCGATAACGTATCGATAACTTTGCTCAATTGAGCTTGAATCCGGTCTTGATCTTTTTCCATCACTCCGCCCTGCATGGAGATGTTAGCGGACGATCACAGAACCTGGGATAGCAGGCTTCACTCACGTTGTAGTCTTCGCAGGCCTGCAAATAGATGGTCATCGCAGTTCTCATCGAGATTTGACGGGCCTGCATGGCAAAGAAAACCTTCTTCGCCTTGTCATCCATGCCCCTCAAAAGGGTCAGGATACGACGGGTGCGGACCTTGTCCACATCAACCTCAGCATCGCCCTCCTGTGCCTGTGATCCCTTCTGCTTCTGCGACTGCGTGGAGCTGCTGCGGGTCAACTTCGCCTTCACAGGGGGGTAGTTAAGCGGCAGAAGGATCTCAAATAGAACACGGTCAATCATGACATGAATATCCTGGTCATTGGTATAGAAAGCATCGAAAATCTTGGATGGTCCATCTCTGAGCAGAGGCGCGACCACCTCGTCGTCCCGCTCGATTTCGCCCGCAGCGACCGCCCAAATCCGGGCGAGGGTCTTCATTGCATGCTCGCGCACCTGCGGTTTGCGGTCTTTAACTCGTTCGGCAAGAACGAAAAGAAGCGAATCTGGAGTCGAGAAGCCCCCACTGACACCAAGCTTGTTCACCACATAAGGCAAATCAAAGTTAGCAATCGCGTCCACGGCAGCTACACGCACTCTGTCGTCAGCATCGCGAAGCATTGACGCAACATGCTTGATGAGACTCTGTTCCTCATTCTCACTCAGCCCCGAGCCACCGGCGGACGTGAGCAGAATTCGTCCCACTACAGTCACCCAAGCAGCACGGACCGAAGCAGACTTATCCAGACGGCGGCTAAGAAAGCTTTCATAGGTGGAACTGTGCGTTTGCGAGAATGGCTTCGGAGAGAATGGCGTCAGAAGAACGCTGGGCTGAGGAACAGTCTGCGCATACTCAGCCAGGGTTACAGGTGGGTAGGCCGCAGGGTCCATTGGCGGCGGCGGGGGTGGTCCAGCAACCCCGATTCCAGCCGTCAAATCGCCGATTGTTTGTGTAGCTAGCAGACGCAAGGCTAGAGACTCCGCAGACAATTCGGCCTCCAGTTGGGGAATCACATTTTGCAAGACCTCCGGGCAAGCTTTCCACAATTCTCGGATCAGACGATGTGCTTTGCTCAGCTCTTTGATATCTTCTCCTTCCTCGTCCGAGTCCTCCAGGTTTGGCCTTCGGTGGGCGCTCTTCGAAGATCCGTTTGCGCCTGGTGCGGGAGCCGAAGCGTCGATGATAACATTGTTGAAATACTGGCTGATATGACTGGTCATCCTTTCCGGGCACGCTTGGCAAATTGCCTTCGCCATGTTATAAGCGGGAGGATAGTCCTTGAGGAGGAGGGTGCCTTGTTTGGCGTCAACAGGAGTTTCACCTTTTCTTCCTCTCTTGTTGGGTAGCTCCAGGGCGCGGGGATCGATGCGCAAAAACTGGGCCACGATGACATCCACAACATCGGGAGCCAGGACAGGCGATTCATCAATCACCGTCACGAGAAGGCGTGTCATATCGAACTCAACATTCTTGGCGACTTCTTCCCCGGTAGAGTTCTTGGAGGATCCAGAGACGATGTCGAAGCAGCTTGTAAATAGCGGTATAATCAATGTGTCTGGGTGATCTAGGTCAGTCATGAGTACGATACTCTTGACTTCTGCGAGAGAGTTGAGGACGTAAATGTGCTGGGCATTGTAAGGATTTGACGGGTCCCCTAATGCAGGAATGATGGAGGTGACTATAGAGGTAAAGATATCCTAGAGTATTCCGAGGTAAGTCAGCATTGCCAGCATCGAGACGAACCGCACTCAATATCGGACAGTCTCTCAATGCAGATCAATTGCATTGACGACGAAGTCAGACAAGGGTCGTGATGAATGTCGGCGCACCTTCAGTTGGTTTGCCGTGAAAGGCGCGTCAGGAGCACAAAGGCGCAAGACGTCAACGATGCAACAGGCGGTCCAAGCCCTTACTCCCTTATCCTTATGCCCCAGCAGGTGAGCGGTGGCTAGCTCCTGCGACACCTTTCTCAGCGAGTCGGTGTCGATTTCCTCCTGCTCGAGTTTGCGAAGCTCCTGCGCGAGGGTCTGTAGTCGTGAAAGTAGATCGGCCACGGGAATGGCGGCTCGTCCTACGCGCCAGGACAGCGGCTCGTTGAACTTGAGACGGCGCAGACTGCCGGAGATATCTTCATGGTCCACGACCTCCGTCGCGACGGAGGGACCTTGACGAGTGCGCGCGGGCATCGTGGACGAAGCGCGGGGGGACGGGAGCCGATTGAGGGTGAACTTCAACACACCATGCGCGGCGCGGGTGGATGCGGGAAATAGGGTGTGATCAACGAATGGGGGAGGGGTCCAACCTCCGTTACGTAGAAGAAGATGTAAATAATAAGAGAGAGGAAAATAAAGGAAATTAGATGAGAGGGGGAGGGGAGGGGAGGGGAGGGGAGGAGTTGGGGAGGGACAGGAATCGATTCGGGTGAAGAGGGAAGGTGGTTGGTTCGGCTTTGCGGTCGGAGGAGCAGTAGGTAAGTTTAGCAGTAGCAGCAACAGCAGCAACAGCAACAACAGCTGCACCACCCAAAGAACGGGTGATTGACGGGTTTCGAACCTCGCCGACCGCCTTCGACCGCCTTTGACCGCCTTCCGTGGGGCGGGACGCGTCGCGCGCCTTTCAAAAGCACTTGCCCTCTTTCGGTTTCGGTTGCTTCCCCTCGGATCTCCTACTCCGTCCAGTACTGTACTGTACATCCAAGATACTCATTCCTCATAGAAACGGTCGGGAATTGAGTCAATATCCAGTCCACACACTCCGCAGACATGCGATTTGACAATCAAAGCGTTTTCTAACTGGTAATATCTGCCAGCTGCCGAAGTGTCTGACCAATTAATCCCTGGCTAGCTCTGAAACGAGGGATCCCCAATCCCCGGCATATGACGTGGCCACGCTTATTCTGAGCTACTATACAATGAACCACGTCCTGATGCACAATCGGACACATGCAGCCAATATCAGACGAGCCGAAAAGAAACTCAGTGGCGAATCTCATTTACCTACAAGAACGCGGTCCTATCTTCAACACCGCATTGCAGTCTGGCCAGCCATCCTAGATGACCTTTCACTCCACAGGTAAACAATTGAGCCACGTCTTGATATATTGTATTACTTTCAGCCAGTATATATGCAGATGAAAAGGCAAATGCTATCTATGCCGCATCGAGATGCCGCTATGCTATGCACATATCACATATACCGTTCAATAAACATTACCCATTTGATCATATATCCGTCACGAGAACGCCATGTAGGTGAGTGGAAATGCTGATGCAAGTCTTTCCTGGAAAACGAAAAAGAAAGAAGAAGAAGAAGAAGAAGAAGAAGAAGAAGAAGAAGAAGAAGAAGAAGAAGAAGAAGAAGAAGAAGACAGATGAGCGAACATGTTTGAGACACAAATAATAGTTTTCTGCATTATCTAATAAGTCGTGCGATCAACTAAAAATAGCTGCTTACAAAGGACCGTCCAGGAACACCACCACTCCGCCACAGCCAACAAACGTACTGTATAGTACACCTACTCGTAAAACATCAAAACACCGACACTACCGCCTGCTTGATCAGTCGGCCTTTTCGAAGTTTCCACATGTCAACCGGGTGTTATCGGACGCATGCACCACCACGGACAGATTACCGAAGAACGCAGGTGTATCCTCAACGTTAGACAAGAACCAGTCGGTGTACGCGACTGCGACGGACTCCCCAGGAGCCGCCCAGATAGGGCCATGCTTTCCACTGAGGTCGCCGACCTCGCAGGTCTGAGGTGCCTTGATGTCGCAGGGAGGGGTATCGGTGCGGCCATACGGGTCCAGGTGGCTGCTGGCACTGTAGCAGTTGCCGTCCTCGGGCACCGGCTTCTTGTGAATATGGTATACTATTTGGGAGGTACCAGTCAGCACGTCACGGGTGAACAGGCCGACAGCATTCGCACGGGCGATACATACATAGGGGCTGTTGGTCCGTGGGAATACCCCAGAACTTAGCATGGATAGTGATGCCGACATTATCAGGCCCCGGAGATGCCTTGAGGTGGCCCTGGACGGTGGTATTGTCCTTCTGCAGGAGCTGAACCTGCCACACGGAGTCATCGTTGTCCCAGACAATGGGCGCATTGGTGTCTGCCGCGGTCGCTTGGAGGCAAAGGAGGCCAAGCGAGGCCAAGGAAAGAGTCTTGAGCCACATGGTCGGGAAGATTTTCAGATAAAGATGGGAGGGAGGCGGAGTCAATCGGAGGCCGTCAAGCAGTTCGTTGTGCGAGGGTGGTGGTCTTTATGTTTGGCTTTCGCAATGGTTGTTGACGAGGACGAAGCAAGGAGGCCCTGGGCTGTATACGGCGCAGAGTAATGGCGGATTGGAGGGCAAGTGCGACCTTAGCAACGGCGGGTTTTATATCAGTCCTGCGAGAGTTCGAGCCAAGCCTGCCAGTCAGTCAGGCACAGAGAGCGACTGAGCGTCTCCAGTTGGGTCTCTGAGCTAATCGGCACCGCCCATTCCAAACTGGCCTCTCTCATTGAACCATCTTGCCCTGACAGGAGAGGGTTGTGGTGTGCGGTTGGCCGGTTGCGGTAGAATGCAGACTGTCACCATCCCTTGTTACACCAGGGACTAGGATGGACAAATCAATGTCACTGTCACCGTGGCTTTGAAGCTCGCCGGTGCGTATTCCTTTTAAGTGACAACAGCTAACAAGGCTCATCGAAGGACGATGATGTCTGGACCACGTAGCCAGGGAGGGTCGGTTCCTGAATTTTCTTCACTTCTTCTTCTGCAGCTCTGGTGATTTCATCATCCTCCGCATTCAGAAATAGTAACCCGAACGAGCCAAGCCATGCTGGCTATACGAGGTTCGACCCATCACATAGACAAGAAAAAAAATAATGAATGAATGAATGAATGAATAAGCTGTTGAACGAGTTGTTGGATCAGTCATAATTGATTTGTGAGGTGTTGTGACCGAGTCGATGGATGAGTGGTTGGACCAGAATAGCAATCACGAGCAATGCCCGGCGAGGGTCTCGTGACTCCCTTTTCAACTCACCAACTCACCAACTCACTCCGCCTCGCTGCATCTCCTTTGCCTTTGTTATGCATCTCGGTCGGAGTGACTGCAGATCGGGTCTCCTCCGAGTCTCTCTCGGGCAGAGAGACCCCGAGTGTCATCCAGTGTTCCATCGGACAGCAAATGGAAGGAAAGCTTGACTCCAACTGCCAGACTTCCCCGCGCAGTCTAGACTCCACCTCCTCCCCTCCTCCACTCTCCCACTTCTCCGCGCCAATGGATGCCTCATATCACTATCGCGGACTTCGTTGCGATCAATATCTCGCAGCTCGGCGAATGTCCTACTGCTCCAAATCCACCCATCCCCAAGAGGAGAACTGTTGATAAGATGTAGTGCATGATGAGGGAAGGCCTCTATTTATTCGAGGAACTGGCCAGGCTCCGGCTGCCCATACCCGACGGATGACTTTCACAAGCACATCGGTGACTCTCGCTTTTTTTGACTCTTGCTGATCTTGTTCCGACCTCAAAATGTCTCTGGCTGAGTCCCAATACATAATTCAGCTCCCCAAGACGCCCTCCATAATTGGTGCGCTGGACCCTCGAGGCATTGTCCAACGATGGCTCACAAACCTCGAGGCACTCCTCACCACAGGCACTTTCCACCAACTTGCAGCTCTTCTCCATGAAGAATCTTGGTGGAGGGATTTATTGGCAGTGAATTGGGATCTGCGCACGATCCAGAATCTGGATCGGATACAGGATTTCCTGTCTCAAAATCAGCCCCGTGCTGGTCTGTCTGCTTTCCGTGTCCAACACGAGGGCAAGTTTCAGCCAAAGCTGGAATTCCCGACGGAAGGCCTAAGATGGATCACCTCCATGTTCCTCTTCGAGACGCGCGTAGGCCACGGGACTGGGGTAATCCGACTGACGCAGAATGAGGCCGGCGAATGGAAGGCATATTCGGTGTGTACGACGCTGCAGGGTCTAAAATCCTTCGAAGAACCCTTGGGTCTACGCAGAGCACAGGGTACCATTGAAACCATGCCTGGTGGTCTTAGTCAGGGAAACTGGCTTGAGCGCCGTCAAAGGACGATCAAGTTCGAGAACGAGGAGCCTACAGCTTTGATCGTCGGTGCTGGTGAGTTTAGTCTCATGCACGTGATATCTTAAGCTAACAGCAGATCAGGACAATCCGGCCTAAACATGGCTGCTCGACTCCAGTCCTTAGGTGTATCTCATCTTATTATCGACCGGCATGAGCGGATAGGCGATAATTGGCGCAAGCGATACAGAGTGAGCGATCCTACCATCCCAATGTGGTGTCAAATCTAACATCTGCAGACTCTTGTCACTCATGACCCCGTCGAATACACTCACATGGCATATCTGCCCTTCCCTAAGAATTGGCCGCAGTACACGCCGAAGGACAAGCTCGCCGACTGGTTCGAAGCATATGCCAGCATCATGGAGCTCAACGTATGGCTGCAAACCTCCATCAAGTCCGCCACCCACGACGACGCCAAGCAACAATGGACCGTAGTCGTCGCCCGTGGCAGTGGAGAGGAACGCACTCTTCATCCGCGCCATCTGATCTGGTGTACTGGTCACTCAGGAGAGCCATTGGCCCCGACCTTCCCCGGTCAGGAGCACTTCAAGGGTACCGTCTACCACGCGAGCCAGCACGACGACGCATCTTCACACAACGTCAAGGGCAAGAAGGTCATCGTGGTCGGCACCGGCAACAGTGGCCACGACATCGCGCAGAATTACTACGAAAACGGGGGCGAGGTGACCATGCTGCAACGCAGCGGCACCTACGTGATCACCGCCGAAAAAGGTGTACTAATGATGCACGAAGGCCTCCACGAAGAGAACGGGTGATTTCAATTCCTCCCTCTCCCATCCAAAGACAGAACCCCATACCCATCCCTCTACAACCCCCCCAAAAAAGTCACCCCTGTTACAATGAAACCTCCTCTAACCCCCGAGAACAGCCCCCCAACTGAAGAAGCCGATCTCATCGCCGAATCCCTCCCCTACCCCGTCCGCTTCGCCCTGGACGTCCACTTCACGAAACGCGTCCAAGCCGCCGAGCACGACCTCCTCACGGGCCTCCAGCAAGCCGGCTTCGCCCTGGACTTCGGCCCGGACGGCGCCGGCATCTCGCGCGCCTACATGACCCGCGGCGGCGGGTACTACATCGACGTCGGCTGCAGCCCCCTCATCGCCGCCGGCAAGATCGCCGTCCAGCGCAGCTCCGAGGGCATCTCGCATTTCACGGAACGGGGCATCACGCTCCGCGACACCAACCACACCACGCTGGACGCGGACGTCGTGGTGCTCGCCACGGGGTACGATAACATGCGCACCACCGTCCGGAAGGTGCTCGGGGATGGGGTCGCGGACCGTCTGCGGGATGTGTGGGATCTGGATGAGGAGGGGGAAGTTAATGCTGTACGTTTCTCCCATTCTTTTATTTTTCCTGGGCGGTGTTCGGAAGAATGAGCGAACGGGCCCAGGGTTCCTTTGACATAGAACCTTTGCTGGTATGGGCTTGACTAACACCACTAACTTGAATTGCAGATGTGGCGCCCTAGCGGTCACCCCGGGTTCTGGTATATGGGCGGCAATCTGGCGCTGTGTCGCGTGTACTCCAAGTTTCTGGCGTTGCAGATCAAGGCCGTGGAGACTGGGTTGGTGGAGGGGCAGCAGGCGCAGTCGAAGCTCTAGTGGTCATTGCTGCACATGGAGAACCAGTTTAGACATAAAAGGGTAGCTTGTGATTGGCTAGAGGATTACCGAAGCCGAAACCTCTACACTTATACTACGGAGCCTCAGGTCAGAGATGAACTCATCATTCGTAGACCTCTCCCTTAGGAGAGGGACAGACAGTGAAAATTCTTCTATATACCAGGTACCACCTCTCCGTTCTACCCAAAATGATCATGACATAGATACATTAAACACGTTAAGTCGCTGAAACACATCTCATCAAAAATAATAAACAACCCATGCGTCTTGAGAATCATATCCAGAAGCGTCGTAGCTCATACTGGGACCCTTCATTTACACACAATCAATCAATCTCTCGCCTGTTCCCCATCATCGATAATCATCTCGACATCCTTGATGGGATGGAGCAGCATCGGGGGAAGACACATGCGGCCCTCGCCGGCCAGCTCCTCCTGCTCGCCGCCGTCGTTATCGACCTTGAAGCCCAGCCAGCGGCGCCAGAGGTTCGGCGCGAAGCCGGCCGAGTAGAACCAGGTGGTGCCGCGGAAGTTGTGCTCGCGGTCGCCGAAGACGGAGGTGCGGGCGCCGCCGGAGGCGCCGTTGCGGCCGGCGTTGAAGACCGCGTCGACGTACTTGGTGGGCCAGCGGCGGTCGAGGTAGATGGCGTGGGGGACGGAGACGGCCTTGAAGCCGTGCTGGAGGGCCGTCGAGGCGGGCCACATCTCCGAGAACATGGTGTGGCGCTTGCGGACGGTCTCCTGGTGCATGGTGTGCAGCAGCTTGTGGGACATGCGGGAGGCGGTGATGATGGCCGTGCGGCGCGGGGGCATCGTGCCGGCGGACCGGTCGTAGCCGGTCACGTCGTCGCGGAGCGCCCAGGTCGTGCCCTCGGGGTCGAAGAGCGGGTTGAACACGATGAGGTCCGCCTCCTCGCCGACGCCCCACTCGTAGCGGTCCTTTTCCATCGTGGTGGGCGGGATCCCTTCGCCTTCGACCTCGAGGATATCCGGCTCCGCGGGCCGCTCGGGGCCCCAGACGGACTTGTCACCTTGCTGATGCAGGGCGTTCTTTTCGGCTGCTGACTTGTCTTGGCCGGGCTTTGGTGCACTCCACATGTTGTTCGGACTGTTGGTGCCGATCTCGGTCTGCACGCGCACCATCTGCCGGAAGTCCTCCCACGTCCCTTGGACGGACGGGATGTAGAAGCGCGCATTCCGTTCCCAGAGACCCTTGCGGGGCTGTTCTCGCGCCCAGCTGACGACCTTGTCGAAAAGGTGATACCAGTGCCCTGTGTATCGGGCATCCATCTCCCAGTTCCAATAATAGTCGTATTCCGGATGCTGGTATGCGAAGTACTGCATGGGCATGTGGGTGCTGCGATAGACACCGTGCACAGAGAGTCCGCTAGCCCACGTCTCCTCCAGACCAGGGTACATGAGCGCCATTTGCCGCTCAGACCAAAGCGTCGCCATACCACGGAACTCGGCCGGCAAGGCATCTGTGAGCACACGCTCATATGTCTCATCATCAGCCCAGATCTGAAGATTCTCATCTTTGACTTGGACCAAAAAGTGGATTGCATACTCGCCGCCGGACTGCAGAGACAATTCCGAGATCAGCGAACGTAAATACAGGATGTCATCAGGACTATAGTGGTAGTCGTGCCAGGTACGCAAAATAAACGCAGTCCGGGGCAGCCGTTCATGTTCAGTCTGTTCTTGCTGATCGTTTTCCGGGGAAGGCGAGTTTGTTGCGGCATTATCCAAGGTCGGAACTCCGATCGGCATGGAGATAAAGCGGTTGAGACGCGGTGCGGGGAGCTCTTTAAAGCGATGGCTGTTGGTGGCCATGCATCGGTTTTGAGCAGCAGCCCAATCCACTTTCCGGAAATCCACCGGTGGAAAATCCTCCCAGACCCGCTCAGCGCCCTCGCGTTCTCCTTCGAGGCCTGCACCGATTCCACCTTTTCGGACACTGTAGCCCATCCCATATGGCCCAAGGCGGCCAAATCGATCGAAGCAAACGTCATCCCTAATGCCAAGCAATTCATTGGAGCCTATGACCGGGTCAGGGAACCCGCGAGGCACGCCAGGGTAATGATGCACCAAAGGAACCCGCATAGTCCCATCCTCATCTAGAAAGCATTCGTGTTTCTCTCCATACTTGGCGATGTGCTCTGGGGAAGCGTAGTCAGGGTACGGGTTGAAGACCAAGCTCGAAAAGGGTACGGTTTGGTCGCGCTTTGAGATGCTGGTATCGTTCTGAGAGCCAGTGTTGCCAGCCTCCATCGCTTCCAAGCTGTCGTTAGGATACTCGGGTACATTGTCTGTGCGCGTGACCAAGGTTCGGATGCCCCCATGATAGCGCTTGAGAAAGGGAAAGCTTTCCCAAGCGGGCGGCTTGGAACTAGGCTTGGGTAGCGGGACATTGACTCGACTGACAGTGGAGAGAAATGTGAACCGGAACAGAACGATGATGAAAAGCACGAGGAATGAAAGCAGACCCATGCAGAGCCATCGCATGACTCGGTGGGGGACGCGATAGCCCAATCCGATGCGAGGAGGTCGGCGCGCCGGCGCATCACTCAGCATAGGGCGAAACGAAGAAGCGGAGGAAGAGCTGGTGGCATCATCCTCAGTATCCGTGTCGGAATCATATGAACTCCGGCTATATTGACGATAGTGATGTTTAGGGCGTGCAGGTTGTTTCTCTATGTCCACCATCACATTGCGACTTTTCTTTGAGTATCGTGCATGAGCCGCTTTTGAGGCTGGCTGCCTTTTGGCTCGAATGGGCATGGTGGACACAGCATGAACCGGTGGGCGTTAACGACGTCAGAGGAATGCGCACCGTGCAGGGCGATCGATTGAACGGCGCCAGCGTTCCGAGGAATGGAAGGGGCAAGAGTCAACAGCTATCAGGTGTGTCAAGGTTAGTGAGCGATTGAATCATACATGTCTGACAACTGAGAACCCACATGTCTACCTGTTCTTGAGCAGTGTCAGAACGGTTCGCCCGAAAGTGGGTGACTGATCGTTGTCCACCGATCTATAGTCACAGATTCCCGAAGGGGACGTGGGGACAATTAAAAACAAAAGCACTCAAGTCCAGTCCAGCTGCCCGGGACTCGGATCGAGCCGATCAACAACAATTGATCAGAACGAGGATTTCGAGACAGCTCAACGCTCTCAGATTGACTGTCAACAAAACACAAGACCGCACAGTGGTACGGAGTATAAGTTATGGCGTAGTGTTTGGCAGATCGGCGCCAGTCGTTGCCCAAGAGACGACAACCAGCGCTTGCTGCACTAGGCTGGACTTGATTGTCTTGGCGGGGCATCTCTATAACTTGACTTTCACAACACTGAGATGAGTTCCGCTTTGAACGAGGATCAATCTTAGTCGCGGGGCTTATTTTCACAAGTGTAAAGTGTAGAAGGATAGAGGCGAACATGGAATAAACGATAAACGCTGCATAGCTGTGAAACTAGGCAAGTATGAAGTTCCATGGTACGGGGGGAGTTCCAACAAGTCAAGAACTCGAGCTGGGCTCGACCTTTCTTGTCCACATCCGGCTTAGTGCCTTGCATCAATGCGCTAAGCTTTTCTAGGATATTCTAAGCCTGAGGCACCTCCAGGCATTCAGCAGTGTGCGAGCAACAAGCAGCAGCAAGCTTTCCAGTCGCTCGTGTAAGTTAGGCTTTTACTGAGTTAAGTATTGTACTGTATGTACAAACTCCACATACTCCACTCAACTCAAAAGAAAAGGTCACACGATAGAGAAACTCGAGTAGCAGAGTCACCTGCGCAATGTACTAAGTATGTCTTTGCCCAGAAGCAGGTAGAGCTCTTTTCACAGGGATTGAATCCCAACTAAATTCCCAAGGCGAGCGTCAGGCACTTTCGGGGAAGCAGGAGGAAAACCCGTTATCTGCAACCATCAAGTGCGGTGATGTCACTGATAATTCCGACCTCACTTCCCCAAAACGGCTCCCGTTGAACGAATTAACAATCCTCTTCTTTCCCACCGAGTCTAATCCTGCCTTCAAGATTAATGGCATGACCTCCCAGGACCCCCGGCACTTGGAATGAAAGAACCACCACCGTGCTCCAGGGCCCACAATTACCCCGGTTCTGATGCGATGGACTCCACTTCTCGTGGGCGACGCCTCCTAGATGCCCAGAAACAAGAGCGAGCGCCCCAACACTCCAACAAGAGACATAGTACGGTAGCTGCACGGCACCTCCCACACCACACCTCGTGTTGCATTCGAATTCCTGCGACAGGGAAGAGAAAGGAGTATCTGTTGACGAAACAGCTCATCCGCTGACAGCTTCGGCATACCGTGGCTTTGGGGAGGCCGACGCTTTCCGTCCTTCTTATCCTCCGAGCCTCTTGGGTTTTCTTGTTCGAAGAGGTTACTTCGACATGTAGTCATTGCTGCTTCATCCGCATACCTTAGCTTCCTTTCGCCGGCATACATCACACTGACGAACGGTACCTAGTACTTCCTGCCTTCCTTTTCTTCCATCCACTCAGCCTCAACCACACCACGCGCAATAGCCGAGCCATTGATGAGCAGCAGAAAGCAATCGCCCTCCCTTTAATTCCTGTATGAATCACATTCTGGACTGCGGATGATTAGTTGCGGTGTGATGCAACTGTGACCGTTATTGGTCCACCTGGCTGCACCCAACAGTGCATATCCACCTTTTGCAGTAGAGAAATTAAATAAAAACTATCGTGGCAGCATGAGACCTGCCGGGACCTACTGACTACTGAGTACACTAACCTCCGCAGCACCGCGCCTTCATTCCAGCCAGTCCAGTGTGCCTTTTCTCTTTGTCGTATTTGTGGAGAAAAAGAAAGAGAGCTGAGCTGGGTCACGATATGCCACCCACCTTACTCCACCCCCTGGAAGGCAGAGTATAAAAACGAGCTTACCGGCCCTCTGGTGCCCCGATTCCCCCGGGGGGAACACAGTGAATAGCGCTGTGCTCTGCAGCGCATTGAGATAGATGATCGAGTATTGAGCCCAACCTCTCGCTCAAACCACCATCGCAGCATCCTCCCTGACTCACCTCGTATCGAGACCAATCAACAAAGAAAGAAAGGCATCATGGTACGCACGCCTTGCACCCGCACCCATGCCCTTTCCCCCGACCCACACATAATAGCATAAACCCAGTAGAACAATCACTGACAAGTCTCCCATTATCAGACACCATCAGCAGCAGCAGCAGCAGCATCGAACCTAGCCCCAGCCCTTTACAGCCATCACCTTCACCCGCACCACCACCTAATCTTCACCCTCGACACGACCACAACAACAACGTGCCTGCTCCTCCTCCTGCCCACCCTCTACCTCCTCCACACGATCCGCAAAGACTACCATGCCTTCCTCGCCCTCGGACCGGGAGGCACCCCCTCAACGCCAGCCGGCTACCTCCGCATCTGCATCCTGCGGCTCTTCATCCTGCGCAACCCGCTCCTAGCACCAGCAATCCCACCCTGCGTACAACCGCAACAAGGCCTGCTGAGCCCCTCGCACCTGCCGCCGCGCTCCGGCCCGCGCCCCGTCGTCACAGGAATCGCACCGCAACGCCAAACGACCCAGAAAAGCGACGCGGCGATCTACGAAACCCTCTCCACCGAGATCCACCGCCTGGTCGCCCTGCACCCGGACACGCTCTACACGGGCACCTCGTGCTTCGAGAAGTACAGCACGGGGATGTTCTGCGCGGGGAACGGGAACGGCAACGGGGGCGCCACCGCTGCCTGTGGTGGTAGCGACAGCACCACCACCACCACCACCACCACCACCAGCACCTCCAACATCAACACCATCGCACCAACCCTCAAAGCCTCCAACGCCAACGCCAACGCCAACAGCAACAGCCACCAACAAGAACAACGCCGCCACCGCCTCACCTGCAACGGGGAGGTGTGTCACGCCCACCCGAGCGACGGCAGCCTGCACCTGACGCTGCACCCGGCGGACGTGAAGCTGGTGCTGGAGCGCGGCTGGGGCCAGCGGCACCCGCTGGCCCGCGACAGCTGGTGGTGGTGGCTGCGCATCGTGCCGCCCGGGTTCGTGATGGTGTATGCGCCCCGCGACGCGGAGGAGCTGGAGTGCGTGCTCGAGATCATCCGGGCGGCGGCGTGGTGGGTGAGTGGGACGGAGTTGCGGCGGTGAAGAAAAGCTTGTTGCTTTTCAGGAAGGAAGTAGCTTAATGGATGCCGCGGGGTGGTGAGATGTGGTGATGCCCCGGGGGGACGGAAGAGGGGGGGAAGGTAAGTATATGGTTTGGTGGGTGTAGTGCCTATGAAAGGTGGTGGTGGTAGTTGAGCAACCGAAAGGGTTGGCGGGGTTTGGTGCTTGATAGTATCGTCCCCGCCGCCGTCATCCCCGGGATATGATTCTATTATAAGTTAGCCATCGGACCAAGAGAGCATATGGTGGTCATGACGACACAAAGTACAGGCGGGTGGAGGATTGCACTTACGAGGTCCTAGTCGATCTCACGGCAGCCAGATCATAGAGGTACGAGGTGCGAGGTGCAAAGTGATAGTGCTGGCGCTGGCGTTTGACGGTCCTGGATATCACGCTGCATACATTCAGGTTAAGTTGTAGATACGCTTCAACTGGCTAGCAAGAGTTCAAATCCATCACATTGATTTTTGTTCTTGTCACTCACGTGCGTCGGCGCTCTACATGTTGCAAGTCCAGCCTCTTCCTGCGGTGATAATGAGATACATTGATTGGACCGAGTCGAGATTGCTCCCAGTGCGATCCATGAGATTACACATCTCATCGCAGGAGGGCCTCACCAACAGAAGAGTCGTAGAGAGAGATCATCGTTGTTGTCCACACCGAAATATAGATATCGAGAAAGGGAGAAGACAAAAAAAAGTAAAAAGCTAATAGCATAGAGGAATGAAGAGCCGTAAGAGAACATACAAGAACCACCAAAGTAGCATTTCCCTTTCCACACTACACACGAGGTGTCTTTGTCGGCCCCGGTTTCTCTCCCCTTGTTTCCAGTCATGTCATCCGCAACTGTCCCCGTCACACGCTGCCAGGTATACCTCCAATCATTATATCCATTTAGTCGCGGTTGGTTTTCCGCAGCGTCTCGGCGAGCCACTCCAGACCCTCGTACAGACCATCACCAGTCGTGGCGCAGGTGGATTGGATGAACTAAAGAGGTCAAGGGTCAGTAAGCGAGCACCAACACCTGAGGCACCGAGATGACGTGATTTCCAAACTTACCCAGGGGCGGCGAGTGAGACTTTGCAGACCGAGCTGCTGGGTGATTTCGGCAGGGCTCATGGCGTTCTAAGAGATAAAACCGTCAATATCGTTATTCCTCAACTCGTAAGCGTGGGAGCACATACGGGCAAATCTTGCTTGTTGGCGAAGACCAGGAGCAGGGCGTCACGGAGTTCATCCTCGTTCAACATGCGCTGCAACTCTTCGCGGGCCTCGACAATACGATCCCGATCGTTGCTGTCGACGACGAAAATGATACCCTGGGTGTTCTGGAAGTAGTGTCTCCAGAGAGGACGGATCTTGTCCTGACCACCGACATCCCAGACGGTGAACTGAATGTTCTTGTATTCGACGGTCTCGACGTTGAAGCCTGCATGAACAATTCCCGAAAAAGTGTCAGCGAATCAACTCAGTATCGACCCCATGCGCTGGGTGAGCAGAGACATCATGCTCGCGAGACGACAGTCGAACAGGGTGACTGACCGATGGTGGGGATGGTGGTAACGATTTCACCGAGCTTGAGCTTGTACAAGATGGTGGTCTTTCCGGCAGCGTCGAGACCGACCATCAGAATTCGCATCTCCTTGCGTCCCCATAGTCTGTCGAAAATCTTGGAGAAGGTGAGACCCATGATGGCGGTGGTGTATCTTCAGGGTTCTAAAGGGTGAGGGCGGAGGATGTTAGAATGCGACCAGACAGGACAGAGTGTAAGAATGCGAGCACGAGCGCGGGAGTGCCGTGCTATTCAATCACGGGTCGGGTGATGAGGGGCTGAAGAGGTATATATGAGAGCGAGCAGGACAGTGGTATGACGAAGGAGAAATAAGAGGTGGACGACAACGAGGGGTGGAAGTCGTCAGGTTAAGGTAGTCACGCCGGGGAAACACGGCGGGCAAGACAAATCAGGGGGAGTGGAATTAGAGGGAGGCGAAAGAAACAGACACAAAGACCAGAGCCAGCCTGATCAGGGACGTGGGGGGGACGGGGCAGATAGAAAAGAGACACAACGACAACTTGACCAAGCAGACATTAACAAATTAACATAAAGCGAGACGTACTTACCGATGTGATTTGAAGATGGGAGGGAAAGAGGGAGGGAGATTAGGAATGGGCGTGGATACAGAGAGAGGGGGGTGGGAATGGGTGTGGGAACGAGACCAGACAGAGATAGAGACAGAGAGAGGCACTAAGAGACCAGCGACCGCCCGACTGGAAACAGCCAGACAAGACAAGACAGAACAAACAGGTCAGGTCAGGTCAGGTCAGGTCAGGTTCGGGGCTGTTATGGAGCAGCCTGTCTGTCTGTTTGTTGGTTCGGTCGAGGGGTGGACGGTGCAGGTGGAGGAAATTTTGGGTGAGCACAACGGCCAGTGACCAGTAAAGTGACCAGTGACCAGGTCGAGAAGTTCAGCCGCCGGCGTAGCTTCCGTCACTAACTGAAACCGGCCAAAAACAATCAAATACTTACCGACTATTTCCTGTATGTACTGTACAGAAATATGGAGCACATTAATATTCAAAGAGTATACTATATTTTCATAAAGATTATCGATGTGAATGGATACAAATTGATACTTTTCATCTTTTCCTCAATTATTTACTATTCACATACAACCTGGCGAGCCGGTACAGAACCCTGGCACTATTGAAGATCAGTTTCTGCCTGGCCACCAGAAGAGGACACGGTGTTTCCCGTTCGTCGACCCTTACCAACTTACGCGGTAATGTTACCGCCCCTCATACAGTCTTTACCCGCAAGTTTGTCCCTTAGTGTTCTATACAATACGCAGTATAGTACAGTACAGTACAGCATTATCAACTTCCGTCTTCTAAGACAAGAACTAACTTAGGTGGCTATCAATGACCTTCTTTCTAGACCAAAGAAGACAAGACCAGATAATGAGTGTACTGTACTTCATATTCGAACGAACCTCCTCCCTCCCCTTTGCTTCTCCTCTATCCCAGGCACCAAAACCGCAATTCATAATTGCTGATACTCCTCCACCCCCCACGCCGACCACCTTTTCGCCGTCCCACTGGATCGCCATCGGTGGCACTAACTATGGAGGATGAATAATGTGCAAGGGAGAGAGGGGCGCTCAAACCTGCCCTCGTGCCTCTCTTGCAGCCAAAGTCGAACACCCGCTGCGAAGATTACTAAGAATAGCAAAGATGTTTGAGATTCTCTCAACATCAAGTACGGAGTAAGTCTGGGTGTCGACGGGATTGACACGGTTGTGCGTGGTATATGTTCTCATTTCCGTGGGCTTTTCACATTAACAATAGACGTAATACTACGCTAGCTACGGATGACCATTTGGCCATCGTGGAATTAATTTATCGGACATCAATTCGCCGCCGCTAAGCAACGTCTCTGAGAGACCACTTGGGCTCCTTAACATGTTGACTCTGAATTTAATAACGACTGTATAAATAACGGGCAATCCCATAAAATGGCGCTGATGCTGAGGTTTGTTGACGGGATAGCTATTCAGCCGGAGTGGATAGTCACATGATGCACAATTCTCTTTGCCCGCAGCCTTTTAGCACCACCAACTTTATGTATAGTCTCCATCAACATGTTTAGTCCAGAATCCTGGGTTTATCCGATACTTTATAGAGATCCACCGTCTCTAAGCGTTGTTCACCTGACAGTTTGTTCGCAAGAGGATTTTCACAAGAAGCTCCCTGCAGGGCATTCCACAGGCCTGATTTAAAACCTGGATATCCTCTTCAAATTCGGAGACCTAGTAAAAGAACCCAGATATATGTCAAATGGCAGAAGAATAAAACATTTGTACATAATACTATACTCTAGCAGCCCAGCTCAGACTGTTTCGTGAGAAATAGGCTTGCAGAAAGAAAAGGCTACTCCGGATTCTTTTCCAGTACTGTTGGAAATGCGATGTCTACGTCTTTATAATGGTAAGACTCAAGCACGATGACGGACTAGGTCTTGCAGTTCTAATCCCCAATGGCATCTATCCTGAGAGTAGCTTGTAGAAGTTTGTCACGTCGATACAAATTTGCTGACCAATGCAGGTCTCTCATCATCCAGAGCTGGGAGATATAAGATGTTAAAGCATGGCTACCAGATACGCCTGTAAAGACGGAGTGTTCGCTGGCAAACCGACCACATAAAGGCGAACAGGGAGACAGTTTCCACAGATATGGAGTAGTCTAGAACATTAACCTCGTATTGTCTTCCCGGAGGTCAGGCTTGCTGGGTAATAAATGGTTATAAGTCATTGGCATAGAAGAAGAGTTCCCGTGCACAAAGATGGCGGCTCGTTCGATCACTTGTGCATGGGTTATCTGTAGTGCCTGTTGAGTTCCTGTATTGCTCCAGTTTAAGGTCCGATCTCCAGTGGCCTCGAATTTACCCGACACGCAATCTTTTTGATTCACGTTCTTCAGAACCACATTGTAGTCGTTTGAGAAGGACTGGTCGCTTGTGCTTCGGCCGGCGCTCCAGTGTGCTCCGATGGAAATCAATAATCAAGGCTCGTTTGAGCTCAGCATTCCATAAAATATTTTCCGGGCGAAGATCCTGATGACAAATTCCTAAAGAGCGGATCTCCTTCACCGACCGAGAAATCGCACGCTGAATGGCTTTGTCGCGAGTCATATGGCTCACGCTTATACCACCCCAGCCCATCAGTAGCATATGACGGATTTTCCCCGCGCCGTGAAGAAAGTAGATTTGGGCCAAATTGATAGCACCGAGAAAGACTGGAACTGCCGATCCTTGGGCACGCTGGAGAACTCGGTAGACCTCTGCTTCGCGTGACACCTCCGCCCAGAGCCTCGAAGTCGTCCCTTTCCCAACAACAGTGTATCCAAAAGTGGCACAAGTAATCATGAATGGTGCACCGTATGAACCACAAGAGCCTATTGGAGTGCAGTTATGATCCAGATCCTGATCGAGCTGCTCCTTAAGTTTTATCACAAGGTCAGCTGCACTGATTGGGTGGCGGTCCTTATTTCCGCTAAGCATATGCAGCTCCGTATTTGGACAGTCTTGATCTAGCATACCGCCCTGCTGTAATCCGACAAGGCACTTTTGTGTGCAATATCGAGCAACAAGTGTACGAGATTGCCCGCTTTGGTTCCCTTGGGGACTTGTCTGAAGTGCAGATTGTTTGGTTGTAGGGGACGATGTGACCTGGCTGAACCCCCGCTTCCGTCCCACAGATGCGGTGCGGTCTACCTCAGAATCAGGAGAATCCTCTCGGACATTTTGTTGGGTTAATGGCGCGCAGCCAGAGCCCGCTCGTGTAAGTACTCGACGACCTTTGGTGACAGGAGACCCTGTAGGAGACGATGAAGGTAGGTACTCGGATGTAGTTTGCTCCGGGCTACTATATTCAGAGGTAGCATAGTCTACGTTCGGGTTCTGTGGTAATGCTGTCGATGGGATATGGGAACGCTCGCTATCAAAACTCGTGCGCCATTTCGGTAGCTCGTCTTCGGCGGCATTCCGCCAGGCCTGATCACGAAGAGGAGTGCGAAAACTCATCAAACAAAGGCATAGAGTTCTCTCAATTCGAGTCATGGGAGATCCAGGTCTTCCACACATACTGGGGTCACCCAGATGGTAATAGAGGGTGGTTGGGTCGTCGTAGGGCACCCAGAGCTGGACGTCCATTAGGCCGTTCGTTAAATATGAATACGTGAGACCCTCTTGAATCATCACGTGGAACTCTTGAACAATGGCGGACCCGGCCAGCCGAGCGGCGTTATATCTTGACTTTTGCGGTTCTTCAGTCGGAACAGTATCCCGTTCTACAATTTCGTGCCAAAAGTCCATCGGCCGAAGTCCCTCACGCAAAATCGCCACGGAGAGCTTATGGGGTGGTTTGTATTCGACTGTAGTGAGCAAGGTACTCGTAGTCCCGTCCACCCGGTGAATGCAGAATTGATCCGGCTTCGAAGGGTTTGTCGTTGATGGCTGGCTAGCATCAATTCCATCATCCCCGTCCAGGGCGTTGGCGTGATTGTCGAACCACACTCCGCTACCTAAACAAAACTCCTCACGAGCACCTGGTATTTTGCATAACTCCGCGACGATATCGTGCACATGGTCTTCAACGGCAAGTCGCTCATAGGTCTCGAGGTCCTGTTCACTGCTAATCGGTCGACGCGCAAATCGACGACCATGATCTTCCAATGCAACTAGTGGCGTGAATAACTGTCGCGCGTCCTCTTGTGTCGGTTGAAGGTAGCGGCAAACAGAATCGTAGATTTCCTGTTGTTTAGCTTCACAGTCGGTCCACGGGAGGAGTCGTAAAGGACAGTGTTTTCCGGTGGGAGAAGGGATTTTGCCCGTCGTGGAGCGAGACGGTGTTTGCGCTCGTAGGGGCCTCCAAAGAAGATCATGGCAATATCGGATAAACTCTGGAAAAGTCGTCGGTCGGTTGCGTTCCCTCTCTTGCCACTCCCGTTCCTCTGCTTGCTTTCTCAGCTCGGCTTCCTGCCTCTGGAGTTCCTCCGCGAGCTTCCTCTCCTCCTCTGCCTGCTTCTCCCTGTCTTCTGCCTGTTTTTGGCGTTCTTCTGCCCACTTCCTTCTCTCCTCTGCCTTGAGAAAAAGTGCTTTATAGTCAGGGGAGCTGCTTCCACTCATTGTGGCCG